GAAAGAGCTGGAGGAGCTGGAGCTGCCTGTGTTGGCTCCACACATGAGATAAGGTGTTTAGACCAGGGAGTGAAGAGCTCACAGGACCCCCCTGGGGCTGGAGCCAAACTCCAGGAAGTCGACATGTAGGTCCCTGTTAACCCTAACAGGCTTTTTTTGTGCAGGTGCTCACGGGGCATCACACGCCTTAACGCACGCAGGGATTGTGCCAGAGCCTTGCCCTGCTCACTCCTGTTGGGCAGCAGCACAAAGTGGGGCTGGCAAGTCGAGTGGTGGAGAAAGGCAGGGTGTGGAGAGCACCTGTGGAGCAGCTCCCTGAGCCCACTGCCCTGGAGGACCTGCTGGTGCCCCAAGGGAACAGGACTCTGAGGCCTCCTGGCCCGAGCACGGGCTCTGCTGCCTTCCCAAGTGTTGTGTCCCTCTGGGAAGCCTGAGCGTCCTGCTCAGTAACTCTGGGGCTGTTTGCCAAGCACCACCTAACCCTCCCCATTGCTGACAAACGTCTGTGTAAAGGAGGGAGACTGTTCTGTAGCACAGGAGGGAAAGAAGGGAAAAGAGAGAAGCCACAGAGGAAACCCCAGCCCCTTCCCCAGGGTTGGCATCTTCCTGGGGAGATTCCCAGTGAGCACAGGAGGAGGCAAAGCCCTGGCAGGGGCTGGGGGAGGGTACGAGCCCCTTCCTGCCCACGGGCAGGCTCCTCAGGGGCATCTTTCAGGCTGGGAAGTCCCAGCCCAGCCTGGCACTTTCTGGGAGCCCTGCTGCTCTCCTTGAGGAACAAGCAGCCAAGGCTCCCGTGGGGGGTGTCCCCGGCTGGCAGGGACCCCCGAGCTGCAGCCCTGCCCCTCTGGGGCCTTGAGGTGCTGCCCCTGCCACCGGCGGGGTTAGGGGATTTGCTGCAGAATCACAGGGATTCCCAGGGCTCCCTGGGACTCTGCAGGGAAGCGTGAGGAGCTGCGTGAAAGGCCGCGGGGAGGTTGTGCCTTGGAAGAGGTTCCGCAGGTGGAACCCGGTGCTGTGCAGCTCGGGGCTCTTCGCTGCTTTTCTTCTGACTTCCCTTTTTCCCTGCCCCGTTCCCTCTGTCACTTCACCTCCCCAGGAGTGTTGGGGGGCTGCAGGGGGTGCCCAGTGCTCTGCTCCCAGGGCACTGCTGGCCTCAGCAGCTGAGCCCTGGCCCTGCTTGGTGCTCAAGGGACAGGCCAGGCCTTTGCTGTGGGGTCCTGGGAAGCTGCAGGGGCTGCCACCCGGGGAGCACAACAGGAGAGCTGCACGGCAGGGACCCGGCTGTGCTGAGTGTCAAGGGGCTCCCACTGCTCCCTCTTTGCTCCT